TATATCTAACTTGATAATATCCTTCCTAAGCCCCAGGTTAAACAGTCTAAGTTCTCATAGTCTTTCCCTGTGTGAGAGTGCCTCATGCCCTTCTGTAGATTTGTGGCCCTTTGCTGGACCTGTTTCAGTAAATCCATGGTTTTCTTATGCAGGAAAGCCCAGAAGTGGACACAGCACTGTGGGTGTGAGGTTATTCCTCCCCAGGTGCAACACTTGGCATTGGCCTTCTTCGAACTTCATGAGAGCCTAAGGCACTACAGAGAGGCACCAAGCATGCGATTTTCCCAGAAAAGGCAGAAAAACTTCCCCCATAATGCTGTCCTTCAGATACTTCCTTTATGTGGATATGCTTGGGGGGACCCCACTTCAGGTCACTTTGTTTATTGCAATGTTTCTTCTCTTCACATCATCCTGGGCCTTTTGTCAGCCCCATGAACTGCTTCCTCACTTGATAGTTGGTCATTCTCCTCCACCATTTGCTCCTCCATAAGAAAAGATTTTGCTTTTAAACAAATGCTACCTTTTGCAAATATAGGAAAAAAAAAACAATCTTATTTTACCTATCTCTCTGTGATGTTTGGCCATCGAACCAAAATTAATACTTGCTTTGCAAAGCAAGTGATTTGAGGAAGCAAGTGAAATAACTTCTATTTTCTTTGCTGACAGGCTGTATTAGAAATATTTTTCAATACAGTTCTTGAATATAGCAAAGTATATACTGTATATATAGTATTCATATAGCTCGTTACTGGACAGGACTTTTTTAATGAGGTCATGCAAGATATGTTACTATGATAGATACTTAATATAGTGAAGTTCTCAAGCAGGTGCACAGAAGAACTTGCTAAAGATTTATATCTTTATCTGTGTATTCCTATCTTTTGCCTTTATGGGCTTAACAGAATAAACCACTATCTAATAACTTGCAGGTCAAAATGTAAACATAACTACCTACAGGTATATGTATTAAAAAAACACTGATTCTCTTGGAACTCACACAAAGTAAATCAGTACTTTTTACGTGTATCTTTAATATCTGGAGAGTATGTATATTGGCACAAAATAAAATCATAAGTAAACAAGTTGAAAGGAAATTTTCGAAGTACATAGTAGCAGTATATTAGTATACGATACTAACTGAGAAATTTGAAATATTAACATTTTTCTGGTTTAGGATTTCTTCATCATAAAAGATCTTTAAATGAGGACGATAGACTCATGTTTGAAAATCTCAGTGATAATGTGCTGAAAACTAAATACAAACTATAAATACTACACAAGTTACTTTAGACTAAGAAATTTCTTGCATGCTACTGAGGGCCAGATAGTCAAATTAGGCTCATTTAACTGAATATTATTTTAGAATCACAACTTTTAGAAATTAATATTAACTTGAATTATTTTTTTGTTATTTTGTTTCTTTGCTTTTTTCCGTGTGTATATTCTCTTCACATAACTCATACATCTGTTTTAATCAAGTTCAAGTCTATTATGTTTATACAGATCTCCCTGCAGGGCATTTTGGCCTAAACGAATCATTATTTCAACAGTTATGTCCTAGCTTAATGATACAGTTTCTTGAAATGCTGTCTTTTGCAAGCTTACTTCCCCTTGAGGTTACTTCAACCCTTCCACACTGAAATAAGGAAATCTGACCCTGTTCTTAAGCAGGAGATACTGAGAAGTGAACAATGTTTTCTCAAGCACAGTAACTTCAACACTTCAGACCTGTAAGATGACTATGGTGACAGCTGAGATTCTGATTTTCATGAACATCATTTTAAGTCTTGGTTTCTAAATGCATCAAAATCCATAATATCAAGTCATCTACTTCCAGAGTATTCTACAATATTAACTGGTAGTAGTTAAAAGTCTTTCTAGGCCTTGTGATGTGCAGTCTTCAACCAGTGCAGAAATATTCTACTTTCACTCACAAATGTAAAGTATCAGGAATTTTCATATTGGTATACTCCATTGATATATTTATTTATTGCCACGCTCCCCAGGATAGGAAAGTCAAGGAACACCCTCAGGAATTTGAGGACTATAATTATGAATTAATTATGAAGAAAAAGAAAAAAAAATCTCCATACCAGAACTTACTGTAATTTAATCATCAAAGCAAATATAGTACCATTGGGTTTTGACAGAACTCTGCACGTAGTTAATCCAAAGGCAATTTATTCTTAAATTTGATCCAAATCACTAATTCTGTTGATTCACTAGCCAATATGACCACCTTCCTGCTCGGACTGTTTGGGCAATTGTAGTAATGGAAACCTTACTTCCAATTTAATATCCAGGTTTCTAGCTATAGTATACTGTGACCAAAGGCCATTTCAGTCCTGTAAGGAGATGAGATGCTCTTCTTCAGAGCAGAACCTCAATGCAAGCATCTGCTTTACAGAACTGGTTAATAGCTATGGAAGCTCAAAACCTTGGAAAATCAGGCAAGACAAAAATCATAGAAAGCCAAAAAAAGATTTTTTTTTGAGTCAGGAGAGATGTTCAGAAGTATCTGTGTATGATTTTCAAAAGTAGAAGTGCTACTAACTCTGGAGCCCGCTATGAACTCACTTAATCTTTGCTGGACTGGCTGATCTAAATCATTTAGACTCATGAGAAAATCACACTGGTGAAAAGTAAAATATATCTTGCTATTTGGAGCTGCGGTGTGGAAAGCTAAAAATGGACTTTATTTCATATACTGTAGGAAAATGCTGCTGCAGCATATTATGGACTATTGACACATGCTAGTGACTGTTAAAGGAACAAACTATTTCACAGAATCACAGAATCATAGAATGCTTAAGGTTGGAAGGGACCTCTAGAGCTCATCTAGTCCAACCCCCCTGCACACGCAGGGACACCTAGAGCACGTGGCACAGGACTGCATCCAAGCGGGTTTTGAAGATCTGCAAAGAGGGAGACTCCACAACCTCTCTGGGCAGCCTGTTCCAGTGCTCTGTCACACTCACTGTTAAGATTTTTTTCCTCAAGTTTCTGTGGAACTTTTGGTGCTTCAGTTTCTGGCTGTTTCCTCTAGTTCTGTCGGTGGCCACCACTGGAAAGAGGCCAGCACCATCCTCCTCGCTCCCTCCCTTGAGGTACTTATAGACACTGATTATATTCCCTCTCAGCCTTCTCTTCTCCAGGCTGAACAGGGCCAGCTCCCTCAGTCTTTCCTCATAGGGCAGATGTTCCAGGCCCCTGATTATCCTTGTGCATCCTTTCTGACTAAGCATTGTTGGTCAGAAAATTTTATTCAACAACTACAACAATCTGCATTTTTTATCACTACACAAAAGAAGAAATATTTTTAAAATCAGTCTACTTAACAATATATTGTCCAAGTCTCTATATTCTCTTTTAGAAATGTATAATCTTTCTGAATAGTCTTTCAAAATGCAGAGAATCACTGATTTTTCATGTTCTTTCAATATCTCAGTACTACAGTAGGTAGAGACTTGAACTATATATTTTTGTAATTAATTTCCTTAAGATAATGTTAGAAACATCAGATTCCTTAAAATATAGATGAATTTCAAGGTGAGCCTGCTAGCAGATGTTATTAATGGCATATGATTTATTGTGACATGAAATCTGATCTGAAATTCATGTTATTAGCTGAGCTTTTTATAAATTATAATTGCCAACCGCTGAAAATATGCAGAAAGACCACTGATAAACTAGCTTCATCTTCAGGGCCTTGAATATCTGCATTTGCAAAGTGTCCAATATCTCTAACCTTGCTGAATCTGTATAATACATTTTGACATATAGTCTAAGTTTAAGTTCAGATTCATTCATCGTATAATTCTTTCAGATGAGCATCAGAGTAAGAATAATGAAAGATAATGCAACATAAAGGTTTACTGTGGGACTTAAACAGAAATATACACTTGGGTTCACAGTCTGTGACTGTATAGATGCTAAACAGATTGAGTATTCAAGGAAAAAAGCCCCCACATCTAGCTGTTAAAATATGGGAAATGTAAAATTTACACCCACAACCTGAAAACAGTAAGAAGTTGCATATATTCAAACATCATTCTGTACAGTTCTAAGGAGATTTACAGCCCTCTGGCATGAACACTTTCATGCCTTTCTATGAAGGCTTGCATCTCATGAGACTTTCCAGGTTAGCCCCATGGCAAACTAAAGTCTATGAATAGGCTCAAAAAGACAAAATATTTTGGTAAATATATTTTCTAGATAACTCCTTTTATTCCCATGCACTTAACATCTTTATCTCCCCTGCCGTTCTGCCTTTAAATGTTAATTAATGTTTCTGAAATGTTGCTTTACCCATCGCAACCGATGTACTAAAATATCCAAATAAAAAAGAAAAACATAAGCATTGCATTATGAATATTATCTACTCAGCAAACCAGATACTGAAAGAAGGTGAATTGACAGTACATGTTGTAATACATTTTTAATCTCCAGAAAAGCTCTGAGATAACATTCCAAATTCAAAAAGCAACACAAGGAACAGATGCAAAGTCTCATTCTTGACTTTTTTACATATCCAAAGCTTTTTAATGATAAAAAGCATTTATGTGTAAAATGGCATTCACTTGCCCTTACTAAGAGTATATATGGAAGAGCCCCTTGTCAATGCACCAGTGTGCGTGTGGGAATGAAACATAAGGATCACCATCTGCAGCTGTCTAATAAGTGTTCTTCAGTGCCTAATGGCAAAGTGTCAATTCAGGGATGCTCAGATACCACAACGCATCATCTTGTCCATGCTAGTCTTACAAGTCAAACATTTTGCATGGAAGAACAGTTTATTTATAATACTATTCATTTCATTTGAAACACCAGATATAAAACAGTAAGACTACAAGCAGCCTGGGAGGACATACATAACATGAGATGCACCAATTTCCTCTCTTTTATAAGACTCAGTATTTTAAAGGATATTCAAAACCCCTTCAGATTATACCTTAACGTGGAAAGAATCTCTTCATATGCAAATATTTTTAGATTCTTACCTACTGTTGAACTTCTCTGGATGTTTTTCTCTCATGATGTGGAATCTGTGAGCAATTGAAGCATCCTAGCAGGAAAAAAAAAAAAAAAACTGTAAATCTATCATGATGGAAAAACTGCAAAGCAGAAAATCAAACCTGTAATGCAGACATATCATTAGTAAGATGTTGAGTGAAATATCATTGTTCAACAAGAGCAAAAATCTGATCAGTTAGAAAGCTCATGGGTACCCCTTTCCAGGAATGGGGTATCTAACATGACTGATTTATTACACTTTCTACATAGTCTTCATTATAAATCAGATCTAATATTTATTTTTACTGAAACTGTCTTCAACTTCTTTATAGCAGACAGCATCCAGATTTGCTGAAGGTTTACAGTAATACCATTCGAACAGTACTTTTTGTTGGAATACTAAATAAAGTCTACAAAACCTATTCCTCTGGTAAAGCTGTGTGATTCAGAAGAGTTACATTATATGCATACAGCTTGATATTTGCATATGGCTGTTCAATAGCTTTCTATAAAAATTAGAGAATAGTCCATTTCCTACATATCAGGATGGAAAAAAAAGAGTGATCTGAAAAGAAAATCAGGTTTTCCAGTTTAGAAGAGACTTATTTAAATTAAATATATCTCAACAAAATACATTAAAATATAGTAATTGATGACTAGTCCTAACTAGCTAGAATGCATACCTGAAATGAAAGAGTACACAGTATCTATATATTGATGAACTTTTAAAGAAAATCAAGCCATTACAGTTGTGGAAGTTGCTGAAAATAAAATATAAAATAAAATATTTGAAAGGATGGTGCTAGTTTTGTATGTCCTCTGTAGATATAAAAATAATGTTTTCTTCATTCCAGATCATTTAACACTTCATTTACAAATTCAAACGGTATTTACAAACTGGGAATTAAGAAAGCAAAATGATTTATACTGATCTTCAAATATCAATATTAACTATGTGTGAGAGTATATAATCTATCAGTTTTGTAGTCATGCAAGACATAACAAACACAAAGAAATTTGTTTTTCTCACTAAAAATATTATTTTATTTGTTAAATGCATGTTACTAATTGCAAATCATGTTTCCATAATTATATCTTAAAATATTGCATATATAAGAAAATTATTACAGACTGAGGTTATTAGTTAGGAAAATTAATAATAGTTTTCATTGAATTCCATTTTTATCTAAATAGAGTTTGTTGTAAACTATAAGTAAAATCATAATTATAAGAAACTATTATGTAGAAGAAAGAATTATTTATGATCTCAAAGGTCATGAAAATATAAAAACCAAAAATTTCAGAGATTTATTAAATTTGGTTTGAAATCCTTCAAGGAAAATGTTTCAAAATTCTCACAAATATGAATTTGCATTTAGCAAAAAAAAAAATTAAAAGTATATCTTAATGCTGATTCCAAACATAATTAAAATATTTTGTTTAAAATAATTTTTATTTAAACCAACCCACCTTAGTATAAATAGGCAAGTGCAGATATACAGGTACCCACTAACATCAAACATGTTTGCAACACTTTATGTATTAAGTTATTTATTTATTTATTAGAGTCTTAGAGCAAACTCCAGAGTACAGACTCGTACAACCTCTAGATATGGCTTACTAACCCATGGGTACTTTGAAAAAATAAATGTGTGAATTTGATAACATGTCAGACAGAACTGCTCGGAGTGGGATTGATGATATTTAACTTTTAAGATTATGAATAAAAAGTAATAAAAAGTGATAAAGTTTTCACAGTATTGTACATACACAATATATACATAATGGGCACAGTATAGAATTTTTCAGCAATGTGATTTGTAATCACTAATCAAGTGAAATCAATTAATGGCATCAGTAATCATACTGTCTCCACTGAAATCTTCACATTATTCCTGATCTCATTATGCAGTTTATATACCTGCATATAGGATGATGCATTATTAACCAACATGCCTCTATTTTTTTCTATATTTAAGAAGAGAATCATCAGTTAATATTTTACTGTCCTTCAAGGAAATGAGAGCAAAAAGTCCTAATGAATGAATGAGTGTTAGTCACAGAAAACCTTATCTTTCTGATTTCTTCTCCAAACTGTCATCTGAAACTTTGCATGCAATATTCTCAAACTCCATCTACCATTGCCTTAAATTTATGCAATGCAATGCAATTTTATAATGCAAGTATCTGCAAGTACCCTGGTGACCCCACAGCTCTTGAATACGAATGAAACAGAGAATAAACCCTGAGATGTCACACTTCTAAACAAAGCCTGCCAGCTGGACTAAAATAATAACTCTGTTAACTTTAGAAAGGTTCATTGTTAATACATTATCCCACACTAGATTTGCCAATATGAGAAAAAGTATATTTGCTAGCCAGTTCAATATGAAACAGAAATAAAAGCACTACTGTTGTGGTTAATTGTGAATTTTCTCTACATTGAAGCAAAAGCAAAAAAGACAGACCCAAGACAAACTGAATAAGGGAGTAGCAGCATATTTGACAGAAACTAGGAAACGCTAATCAAGGACTAACTGTCTAATGAATGAAATGAAAAGGCTCATGTGCTTACGCATGCATAACCATTGCGGGACACAGACAAGCTAGGGATCAATGCCCACTGCAGATGGCAAACAGGGCAGTTGGTTCTATACAAGGCTGATTCGATTGAAATTTTCTCCTGCCCATACATTTTCTGACTCCAAAGCAGAGAGGTAAAGCTGAGAGGTAAAAAAGGGCAATACACAAGGTTTATTTTGATGGGAACACTAGACAGGCATGTGTCACACTAATTTCATCAAAAAAAAAAAGAAAAAAAAAAACACAGAAAAGCCACAAAACCCTGATGAATGTCTATGGCTTTGCTAACGAAGCGTGTAAACCACACTAGCAATTGCACAAAGATAAGCAAAACAGGAGCTGTGATGGGAGGCCCGACTGCTGTCTTAAAACATTCAGCTGACTCTACTATGCCCAGCACTTAAACCCCCTACCAACCTTAACTCCATGTTATAGGATCATTTATAAGTAGCCTATAAAGCTTGCACCTTAACAAGATAATCCTTTGCTTTATGAAAAGAAAAAACAAAACAAAACAACAACAACAACAACAACAACAAAAAAGGGGAGAGCAGGTCCCTTACTGTGAGCTGTTACTAGTTTATTTGAAATAGAATCAGTCTTTCCAAAAAGGAGCATCGAGCATGATGTACTTAGAGTCTACTACTCATTTTGGACCAATGAAGAAATAATTTCTGTTTGTGCCAGAAGTTATATTGAAATCAGCTAATTAGCTATACTAAAAAGAACACAACAATGCTCATGTTCATAATAAGTTGAACATTTATGCATTATTGTCTTAATATTGTGAACTCTTCTGGCACCTGATATTGGAGGTGGCCAATAAAAGATGAGAAATTTCTTTTATTTTTGATAACAAAATAATAATACCAAAGTATCCAAGACTGGAGATGTTTTTAAGGAGCACTTTTGTATCAGGTCTAGTGTTGGTGCACAAAGTTCATCTGAATAACTAATCATAAAATTTTGTGTTTCTGACAATGCAATATGAATATTTGAGTTGTATCTATTAATATGAAATACTATTTAAGACATACACTATTTTAAAGCCATTTAGATGTCATATGCAATATACAGTAATAGCCTAGATGACAATCATTTCTTTGAACTTTCTTCTCATAGCATCACCAATCTAATTCAAAGAAACATATTCTCTTTCATATGTACCTCTTTGTAGGTTTAGATGGTTTCCATTCGCTTGTGTAGGATATTAAAAGCAGAGTTGAAAAAACTAAGATAAACATTAGACGAACACGAGCTGTAGTTTATTCTGGTCTAACAAGAACATTATTTTTACCTTTTTTTTTGTTTTTTTGTGGTAATAAACTTTTTAAAAAGCGTATTCTTGAATGCCTTTATTCTCTATAAAAGATTTGACTAGAAGAAACAGTGAACATGTAAAAATGTATACACACTTATATACCCTTAATTTGATCCTGTTCAGAGTCTGAAGTAGCTAGACTACCCTTCTATTATCTCACTCAGGTTTGTTTTAAATCCTGACAGCGAAGATAAGATAGAGAACAGACAGAGCATATCTGAATCTACTACTAGGAAATGGAAAAAATGTTTTAATTGAACTAGGACATTTCTCAAAGTGACCTGCCAAGAAGAAAAGAAGCTTAAGTTGCTACACCTCTTTAATACCTTATGATTGACTTACACACATATATATTCATCTTTTTAATGGGTATTAGCATTACCGGAAAGCAATCTGAAGCAGTCTTTTCAGAGAAGTAACCTTATACATTGTGAATAACCTTATAGAAAGATTAATGTATTTAATATATGTCTATCTATAAGCTTGCTGTGATTAAAATTTCCATTAAATAATAATTTTTATGCTGGTGAACAAACAAATGACCAATGTGCATCTTCTTTGAATATAATATAAATGGTCTTATTTTTTTCTAAGATGCTTCTTTAATTAAAGCTTAATGGACTCATAAGGCTAGGAAGCTTAAGGGATAATTCAGTAACCTGTAATCTTTGGATCAGAATGCCAGTCTAACCTGAACAACCAGTTAGCTCATCTCAGCTCAGTTATTAATGTGGAATAGTAAAGGTGGACAAAAATTCATCGAAAACAAATTAAAAACAGTTGTTTTGCTTGGCTCAAGAAAAAAAAAAAATATTTTCTAGATAAACAAACCTCTTCATCATTATTATGTATCAGATTTTCTGCACTGAATAATAACCAAAGAGCCTTAGATGAACACATAATATGCATAGTACAGTAATCTAGTCCATGATCCTAGTCTAGAAAAAGATACCCCAGAAGCTTTAGGTCCTGCCCTGTTTGCATCAGTATGTTATCAGTTCATGTAGGACTCCCATGTATTTTGATTAAATTACATATTCTAACCTGGACGATGAAGTAGCAGGACTTCCAAAAAAATCCATTAATATATTAGTTTTTGGTGAATTCTTATAGTATTGATAGTTTTTAGTGCAATTCTGAGCCTGTAT